TTAACCATAATTAATAATTAGTAATTATATACCCCTTTGAAGGACACAATAATATTAATGCGACTCTTCACTTCGCTCTCGTCTTTAAGGGAATCCTAAACGTCCTTGAAAGTCTGTCGTTTTTTTTTTTTTCCTGTTTTATCGACAAAAAGGTGATGTTTAGAAATAAAATAAACTCAAATCTCTTTATTAGCTATACGATTGTTTTTTACCTGAATTAGAGCGCTTCGGCCTTTGTTAATATTAATACTTTAATTTGTACAGAAAAAGATTTATCAAAATCTGTATTTAGTCTCAGATTTATAGTTTATCTAACCTCACGTTTTGTCGATAAAACAGGAAAGAAACAACAGACTTCTCAAGGACGTTTATAGGATCCCCTTAAATATTCGAATTTTAATCTTTCGCAAACTCAAGTTTCTCTTCAACGAAAAATAAACTGTTCTAATTAGCCAAAAATGATTTTGATAAATATAAATCGAGTCAAAAATAATTTTTTTAGCTGTCTGATTCTCCTATCTCTCCCTGCTGTGACCACTGTGATCCTGGTGGCGTCGTCGATTCTGGTGATGGCGGAGGAGTTCAAGGGCATGCCGACGTATCTGCAGCACACCTCGTCCATGCTGGTGCACACAAGAAGCACCGCACCATCTTCATTTGCGGAGTGATCAGCCTGATGGCGCTGACCTCCATCATCGGCGTTCTGACGTGTTCCATCACGGTGCGTCCGTATCAGGAAGTGATGGTGCTCGAGCGCCAGCAACAGCAGGAGTCACCTCTGACGACGACCTTGACGGTCCCGCTTCCGTCGCCGGAGAGGCTGACCGCGACCACGTCAAGGTCACCGAACCGGGACCACTTCATCCTGACGTTCCTGGAGGCCGCTTTGAGCGACGAGTCGACCGAAGAGAAGAAAATCGTCCCCTCGACGGAGAACAGCACCCTGAAGGGGGCTCCAGCATATCGAGCTGAAGCTTACGCGAGTGGTGAACGGCAGGAGACCGGAAGAAGCAGGAAGGAGTTCTTCCGGTTCTACAGGTCGGTCTTTCAGCGACAATTTTAGCTTTTGGGTACTACAAAATTCTCTTTGTAACGTTGTAATATTTTTTTACAGATACGAGCAGCGCTACGAGAAACCGGAAGCCGGAAGTCGAGTCTACAGACGTGTCGCGCGTAAAATACAGAGGAAGATCCTCTCCGTCGCCGACGACGAGAATCAAACTCACCCCTTGAGGAATAACATCGATGACCTTAACGATCTTGAAGAGACCGCCTGTATCCGGCCAGAATATATGGTTTTTACATGGATTCTTTGCCTGATCGCTCTCGCTTCAGCCTTGAAACTGTATTACCTGGTGAAGACTGCACTAGCCGCGGCGATCGTCCTGGTGTACGCGGTCCTGATCCTTGTCGTCTGCAAGGACATGTTCACCGAAGGAGAAAGACACGTGTAATTCTCAATTCAATATCAATAATGACATAATATAATATGGTGTTAATATAATATATAAAATATAATAATAATATAGCAATAATATAATAATAATATAATAACATATAATATAATAATGATAATAATATGTTCAACAAAAAAAAAACATAATCGGAACGAGTCTTTTGTTTCTTAGTTTTTTGCAGGATTGGATAGTTAATGATTTTTTGAAATTAAATTAAGTTAAAGTTAGTTGCTTATACAATGAATTTAATTAATTTAGTTCAAGTTAAATTAAGATTAAATTAATTGCAGTTAATTCAAAAGTTAATTTTTAAAAACATTTATATTAAATTAAAATTTTGTTTGTTAATTCTCTTGAAATTTATAATAACAATAAATAACAAAGAAATTTTGACTTTTATATAGAAATATTTCTCAAAATTGTGGCGTGATGGAGCAATTTGGAAACCGGATTCAGTATAAAAAAAATATAAAAAACGACTAATCTCGTTCTAATTAATTTTTTTTGTTGAACAGATAATAACAAAACTTGTTAACATATCCTTCATGCTTGGTCGATAATAAATAATCTAATCCCTCTCTTAGATCCGCGATATCTCTACCAGCGCAGATGCTGACCTTCCTGACAGTCTTCCTCGTGATGGTCACCTACCACGGTAGACTGGTGGAAGTGACGTCACGTCTGGACTTCCTTTGGAAGCAACAAGCCGAGAGAGAGCTGAGCGACATGATCGAGTCTCGACACAACAATATGCAACTTCTGAAGAACATCCTGCCGGATCACGTGGCGCATCACTTCCTCACGGCGGATCGTGCGCCGGAAGTAAGACCCGGATCTTGTCTTATTTGACATATATAGAGTGTCTTCTCCAAATATCCGCTTAATAATTGATTCTCTGATCAAAACCGTGTCCACCGTTTGATCAGGAAATCTGTTGAAGGGAGTTTTTGAGACACTCTGTACAGGCAAATAGACTCTGCCAATTAATAACTTTAATTCACATTAATCTAGGAACTCTATTCCCAATCGCGGGACAAAGTTGGCGTGATGTTCGCCAGCGTACCGAACTTTACAGAATTTTACTCGGAGGACGTGAACAAGGGAATGGAGTGCATTCGCCTGCTCAACGAAATCATCGGTGATTTTTTAGTTTCAAATTTTTTAGTTTAAAATTGGGTCATTTTACAAACTTCAATTAATATATATATATATTTCCATTTTGACAATAATTAATGTATAATTTATTTGACATTTATTTGACAGCTGATTTCGACGAGCTGTTGGATGAGACGCCGTTTCACTGCATCGAGAAGATAAAGACGGTCGGCGCCACTTACATGGCCGCATCAGGATTAAACCCCAGCCAAACTGTAATAATAGCAAATATGAAATAATATAACAATTTAATAATATCAAATATCACAATTCGTTAATTGGAAATATTGTCTTCAATTCTAGAATGCACAAGAAAAATACCTTATTTCTTTGATCTTTCCAAATCAATTCTCTCTTATTGCCACTAGGTAATTTTTAAAATAAATCCTCTGCTTTGTATAAAAATTATTCGACTCAATTTGTATTCATCAAAATAATTTTTCTTTTTTTGCTCAATTTTATTAAAATAGGTGCATTCTAAGATTGGGCCTAATTTATTTTCTGCTGAAGAGAATCTTGACTTTGTGGAAGATTAAAATTCGAATAATTGGGCAGGATAACTGCGGCGACGACATGGAACACCTGTGCAGACTGGTGGACTACGCAGTCGCTATGCGTCACCGTCTCGAGGACGTGAACGTTCACTCGTTCAACAACTTTGACCTGCGAGTGGGCATCAGCTGCGGACCCCTGGTGGGTGGCGTGATCGGGGCCCGTAAACCAGTCTTTGACATATGGGGCAACACCGTCAACGAGGCTTCGAGGATGGACTCCACCGGCGTGATGGGAAAGATACAAGTCCCGCACGACATCGCCAGGGTAACACTTCATTAGGAAAAGGGACTATCCACTAAGCACTAAGTGACAGTAATATAACATCGATGTTATATGACTGTTACTTAGTGTTTGATGGGTAGAGATCAAGTTTAATGTCAAGTGGAGTCTATAATAAAGCTCTATTTTCTAATATCCGAATAATATAAGAAATAATACTACAGGGCAATGATTCTTCAATGATTAACCATCTAAAATAATGATTAGAAATTCGCTTAGATTATTATAGCAATTCTGTTACTTAGTGTTTAGTGAATAGAGATAGGATCCAGTGTAATGTCAAGTGGAGTCTATAATAAAGTTCCATTTTCTAATATCCGAATAATATAAGAAATAATACTACAGAGCAATGATTCTTTAACGATTAATTATCTAAAATGATGATTAGAAGTTAGCCTAGATTATTATAGCACTTCTATTAAATCACCGTATATAATTGTGTGTACACCAGTTTCTGGAGTCGAGGGGTTACCAGACGCAGAAGCGCGGGCTAATCGAGGTGAAGGGGAAAGGCACAATGGAGACGTACTTTGTTTTGGGCAAGGCAACCCTGCAGCAAGAAGGCACTCCCAGACACAGGAGCACCTGTCGCAGCCTCGCCGCCGTCGTCTACGGAGTGGTCCAGGCGCGTCGCAAGCAGATCAGAAAACAAGCGTTACGGAGAACCTAGACCGACGAGATAGACCCGAGAATAGTTCGTGTCGCCAACGTGATCATAGATCGATGCAAGAAATCTCGATCTCGATCCCTCACGATCACTCGCCAAAGGGATCGCAGCTTCGAACACGTGTAACTTCGAAGACGATGATCTCTGAAGATATGAGAGAAGAGACACGATGCACTTTATATATTCTCGAGTCTAGGAAGATATTACTTCCATTTTTAAAGAAGAAAGTTTTGCGCTCTCTTTTACGATTTTTTTATTTGAAGATATTTATTTAAAGAAAATAATAATTTCTTCAACGAGATAAAATAATGTAAGAGAGAAGCGATTTTTCTTCTTTCGCAGCGATCTAACGATGAGATGAATGACGATGAGTACTTATCTGGATCTGAAGATCCAGCTTCGAGGGAGGGAGTTTTTTGTCCAATTTCATTTCCGTGTCATTTTGCCACAATGATGTTGTTGAATGTATATAGCACACTTACAATAAATAATCCATCTTATATAAACACGAGTTGCGCGCCTTTCTTTTTGATTACAGTTTCAAGTTTCTTGTTTCTTCTACAGTATGATAATATTCTAGCATCGCTATTTTTAAAAAATGAAGAAATAAAAACGAAGAAATAAATGAAGAAATAAAAACGAAGAAATAAAAAAAGAAAAAAAAACGAAGAAATAAAAAAGAAGAAATAAAAAGGAAGAAATAAAACGAAGAAATAAAAAGGAAGAAATAAAAACGAAGAAATAAAAAATGAAGAAATAAAAACGAAGAAATAAAAAATGAAGAAATCAATAATAATCACTAATATAATAATGAATAACTGATTCGATCACTAATTTTATGACAGAATTTTATTTTGTAAAGATAAAAGGAATTATTATTGGGATAGGGAGAAAAAAATGCAAAAACCTCGTAAGCTTTCCGTGTAACCTCGTATATTACATTATTACGGTAAACACAATATTTATAATCAATATTTATAATTGTAATAATAATCCATGATAATAATGGCAATAATGATAATTATAATAAGGCTAGCTACAGGGGGGGGGGAGAGGTGGCCACGGGACACCTCGCGCGATCACAAAGAGGGGGCCACCGCTCTCTTTCCTTCTCTTCTTTTCGAACGATCCGATCGATCGACTCGAAAACTGTACACGACTTTTACAACATACTCGCGAATAATTATAATCTAATTTTACATATTAATCATTACAATTACGAACCTAGTCAGAAGAACGTCACGACACGTAGGAAGGACCGCGCGCGCCCTCCTTCTTCCTCATATCATATATTATTATCCACAAAATTTCGCATCCTTTGGGGAAGAATTTCGATTCCGAGGAGCATTTCTCAGAACTTTTAATTACATCGTTAATTTTTACTTTTGCTGCGAGAAAAAAATACTTATTATATCTTTTTAACCCCCCATTCTTATTCGAATGATCAATCTCGTCTCTTCAAAGTGTAATATAAAAAATATAATATAAAATGTAATGTACAAAAATATTTTCAGCGATTTAACAATATAATTTAAAAAATTACATTAATTATTAATAATAAAATTATTAATTAACGATCCAATGATTTTCCGTCTAATCTACATATTGTACATTGTAAAATTTTTTAAGTTTCATTTAAAAATCCGCCAAAACTCGTAACAAATGAAAAAAATAATCTTGATCGAAATTTTGTGCATTAATTTAATTAATATAAGATGAGTTAATTTTTTCGTCGAAGGGGAGGATGCTCGGAAAATTTTGCCCTCACGAGATGCTCGATTGCTTATTCTTACGAGGGGGAGAAGGAGGGACTTGTCTCTTTTAAGATACAAAGGCACTGTACACGTAATTAAACATACAATTATTAGAAGAGCGTTAAAAAGGCGGTCCGGATGATGCTTCCTTTTTTTCATCTCTTCGCGCCTCTCTTTCTCTTTCTTTCTCAATCTTTTTTTATTTTTCTCGACAGTAAAACGTGCCCCGTTTGAAAAATATCGCTTCGATCTACAATATCTGTCTGTCTGTTTAAAATACGGCCATATTTAAATTACGGCCCTTAAAATAGGGGAGCGATTTTCTTTTCATTTCTAGCTGCATTGGTCGAGACTAAACTTCTTCTCTCTCTCTCTCTCTCTCTCTAATTCTCTCTCTCTCTTTCATTATCTAAATTATTATCTAGCTTCATCGTTTAAGGAAAAATAGATGACTATGATCGGATTGGATGCGCGGTAACTATTTATTATTATTATACGGGAGGTGAGAATTTTAGAGCTCGTGAGTGGTTGATTGTGAAGGGAGGGAAAATGGAAGAGGGATGGGAAATGATTGGTCAATGCGATCAGAAGTCAAGAAAACGCTCCTGGCTTAAAGGTGGGCTTTCTCTCACGCTTATCACAATTTGGCAGTGAACGTTTTCACTTTGTTGTTGTTGTTCTGTCGTTAAGAAATACACATAGCTTACATAGCGACGCAGTAGTAGTAGTAGTATAGTAGTAATAATTAATAGTAGTACTAATGTGTTTTTTTTCCAGCCATTCCTCTTCAAAATCTATACATTTACGCTTGCTAGTAATATTAATTTTTTAATGGCTCGCTATTTATATATTTATGTATATGTCTAATAAACGCTACGTTCTTTATACAGATTTATCCGTATATATACATGTGGGCGTATATGTGTCTGTGTATGTGTGTATATATACGGCTTGGATTGATGAGAAAAATATTACTTCGCTATATATTATTTTTCACGGATCAAAAATAAATTCTCGTTTGGTCTGCACGGTTTTTTTTTTATCTCGGTACTCTTCTTTTTTTTTAAGGTGTACAACTTAAATAATTATCGATAGTAGTAATAGTAATAGCACAGTTTATAGTGAAAATATGTTTTTACGCGTTTCTTCTCCGGCCTCGCGAACGATTCAATTAATCCTCCATGGACGAAAATTATTTTCTCTTTCAGACTTTCATCGAATTCCATTAGAATCCACGAAGAATTAATCATCGTCTTTATCGAGAACGATCCAAAACTCGTTTGTACGCGTCCGACTGTCTCTTCTCGCAAATCGTTTGCCGATTTTTATCAGCAAAAGAATCAAACTCGATAAAGAGGCGATTATATTTTTATAAAGAACACGATCGAAGGGGCGCTCTTATTTTTTTCTACCGATCAGATAAGATCAAAGTCGCTTTCCCATTCCTGTCGCGATTCGATCCACCGTATTAATTTACGAAAATATCGAACAAACACACAAACGAGCGATCTCGTTTTTTTCTTCATCTACGAAGAAGCTCGCAAAACTCTCTATACTCGTGTGAGAGAGAATTCGCCTAATATTCTTATCCTTTACATTAAATATATATATTTATTATTTATTTATATATTTTTATTTATATATTTATAATATGAATATATAATTCATAAATAAAAATATATAAATAAATATATACATATATATATACTTATTTATTCATTTATTTATTATTTATAATATGTATATGTATGTATATAATTTACGAATTAGCGATTAATCGAAGGATGTTGAGTCAGTTCGGAACTTGCGACTGCCGGCGGGATAATATAATAATATAATGCGTAATTATTAATATTAATATATATGGATCACTTTCCTCTCTCTTCCGCCGGCGTCGTGCAAAAGTTGAGATCATATAGCGTGCCTGATCTAAAAAACGTGAATGCGAAGAACAACAAAAAAAATTATTATTTATCATCCCTCTTCCCTCCCTCGGTGTTTTATCGCGGAGACCCTGTCTTCGTCTCTCGTCGGCTCGTATATATTATATTTTATCTCTCCCCCTTTCTATAGACACACTTTCTTCTCGCGTGTCTTCGATCGTCCTTGGTGTACATTATGTAAATTACACATTACGTACAGATGCCGTAACATTCGCTAGAAGATCATAAAGAAACCTCTCGGACATCTCGAAAATTCCATCAATGATAAAGAGACGACTGTCTAATTTTTTTAAATAATAATAATAAAATAACAATGATAATAATAAAGGACGTTGATATATAAAACGAGGCAAAGTGATATGTCACTTTAGCGAATGTCCAGGCACACATACGGATCTGCCATGGAAAATAAGAAGAGAACGCGGCAGTTATTTTCTCTCGAAACTACTCGCTCGGTGGAACTAGGCGTTTCTAGATATTCAAAAATACATTTCGCTTCAATGAGAGAAGAATAGCTAACTATTTTTTCTTCTCTTTCTTTCTTTCTTCCTGCCATCCCCCCTCCCCGCGTAATTTTCCGGACCAGGGGGGTCGAGGAGGTTGAAGGTTAAAAGCGAATCTCCCTCGCGGTCCATTTGGTCCTCTTCACTACATCTTCTTTTTTTCTTCTTCTTTTCTTCTTCTTCTTCTCATCTATTAAATGCGAAGAAATTATTTTTTATTTTTAGTATATCTTCTTCGATATATCTTCTTCAATATACATCATCTTCTTCGATATAAAAATGTGCGATTACAGTGAAGAGGTCTCTTCACTACATCTTTTTTTCTTCTTTTTTTCTTCTCGCCTATTAAATGCGAAAAAATTATTTTTTATCTTCAGTATATCTTCAGTACATTATCTTCTTCGATATAAAAATGTGCGAGTGCAGTGAAGAGGACCCTGAAACCGTTCCGTGTCCGATTCGACCTTTAATTTCCTCGAATCGAACTCGATTAATATACAAGGTGGCGATCTGGCACGTAGCATCGGCTGCGAACGCCGTGAATCTGAATTGACGAGACTCTGTGAGTGAAAAGGTACGTGTGTTCTCTTAAAAGTTATAACCTGATGAACAGAAGCTCTCTCTCCTTCTTCTCCTCGCGAAAAACTCTCGCATATCATCGCCCTGCGCGCGTATATGTACATATATATTTTTGCCTCTTCTTTCTTTTGGTTTTTATTAAATCTCGATTTAAATCGAGAATTTTTGAGAGACGAAAGTTCTTTTTTTATACTTTGCGGCAAAAGCTAGCTAAAGTAATTTGCGCGAGAATAAATGTGGCAAAATTCAAAAATTTTACAATTTTACTCAACCCTTCTGTCATAATTTTCATCGATGCACAAAATATCCGAGCCGAGCAATTTTTTTACAACAACTGCTGGGCATCGAACAGTCTTTCCCGTTATATTTTAGAATAGTGTCCGAATACAAATGCCCATTCTGTATTTCGTTTCAGGCAAAAAAGGGTTCCGACACGTTTTTAACAATCAAAGTTGCTTCAGGCACCCGGATATTCGTTCATCGACAGAAGAGTCAATTCTAAATCACACACACGAAGCCTCAGACTTCCATTATTTTTCTCTGTCTTGTCAGATCCTATGTTTCTAATTTCTTCATTCATTAATTTCGATCAAACATTTGACAGTCGAGCCTTTTGAAGACTCATGCTTGCGCAAGTGGAGGCTCACACATAAATTTCACGCGACAAGAAATCCAAAACGTCTCTCATCTCGATCGAGAGATGACGTGTAGTTGGCAGTAGAGACATCCCCGCTAATTTTCTTTTTTCTTCTTTTTTCCTCTCGACAATTTTGCATACAAAAATGTACAAATAGTTTGAGCAGTTCCACGTACGGCAGTACTTCATACGCATATTTTCCTAACAACGATCAATTCATTCCTCTCACACACGTATAATACATATAATATATACGGCTAATCTCTCTTTTTTTTCTTTCACATCTCAGCGTCTTCGTAAGTGGCAGTGAATCACGTTACCGCGAAAGTCTTGTGTAAATCAACCGATTGCGAAGAGAACGAAGACTGAAAAGAGGACGATTTTCGCGAAATTAAATTCGTCCGCTGCTTCTTCGATCGCGACGATAATGATTAATTGTACGATGATAAGGAGGGTCTCGAATCCAGTGAAAGAATAACTATCCGAAAGAGAAACGATCGCATGACGTTCTTTTCTTCATTAAAGTTATCCTACAGTCTTCTCCAAGTCGATACCCGAGAGCTATATAAAGAAGGAAATTATTTTTCCCCTCATTCTTCTTCTTTAGAAAAGATAAGCCAACTAGATTTTGTACAAACTGCGCTAATAAGAACCCTTCTCTTTCTTCGTGTTGTACACAAATCGCGAGAAAAATGTACATTCGACACGACGAGACGAAGCGTGATCTCAGATGTCAATTTGAGAAAAAACAAATGTTCCTTGGAAGAGACATTTCCAGTCTTCTCAACATTTTTTTCCATACTCGATGATTTTTACTTCGGTCAAACGCTTCGCCCGCCATGTTCGAAGAATTCGTGGACGAGCGTCCAAGAGGAACCTTCGACGAGCCGGTCCCGGTTCTTTTCGCGAAGCTCTCAGGTACACTGACGATGCTTATCGCACGAGAGCTTCTCCTCTCGTTATACAAGAGCGATAACGCCTAGCAACAGTGACCATCCGGGAAAAATTCGCGTTTCCCGGATGGTGGTGATCACTACTGTTGCAGCGTGCTGAGAAAGTCTAGGTATATGTGTTGCATGTAATCTCAGGAGGACTGGCCGATCTGGGTCTGCGACATCTGGGTCTGGGACATCGCCGCGGCGGCGGCGGCCGCCGCGACCGCGACCGCGGCCGCCGACGACGAAGAGGATGACGACGAGGAGGAGGTGGTGGTGACGGAGGCAGCGGTGGTGGCGACCTGCGGCGTGTGCAGAGCGAAGCCGTCGTAGACGTCCATCAGGTCGCGCATCCGATACTCCTCCAGGCAGACGAAGCCCTCCAGCGACGGGGATTGCTTGCGCGCGCAATCCATGCAGTGCACCACGTGACGTTTCTCCTGCTCGCGGATGAATAGGATGTTGAACACCTCGATCTGTAAAATCGAAATAATATATTGAATGAGAGAACGGAGGGCAGAGTTGAAAGGACCGAGTGGGATACTGGTTTTTGATGGAATTGGATCTTTTTTATATGTTGTAACTTGTGTTAGAGAAAATCAGTGAAAAAATCAGTTGATTTTATCAGGATTTTATATAGGTTCAAAAATCCCGTACATTAATCGTATAAAATTAAATCTTGGTACAGGGTGTCCCATAGGAAATTGCTGAAACTAATCAGCTAATATTTTTTAATGCATGCAATTATTGAGAAAATAAAAATTGTGTTGGAAAGAGGAAAGTCTATAGTTTTTCATGGATATAAATAAAATGTTTATATACCAGTTTATTTTCTTGAGAAAAAGTAAGGAAAAAAGTGCTAACAGACAGAATTTTGCACAAATTCAAATGGTGCGCACTTTGAAAATATTTATCATTAGTTTATGGATTATTAGCATTATTTTCATTACTTTTTTTCAATGCAGACTTTCCTGTGTTCAACACAATTTTTGTTTTCTCAATAACTGCATGCATTAAAATATGACAGTTGTCGTAGTTTCAGCAATTTTCTATAAGACACTCTGTATATATTAGATATTAAATCTTGATAAGATCAGGCTGATTTATGTTGTAGCTTATGATCTGCTGAACAAAAAATGTAATAAACTCATAGCTAAATAATACACAATTACTAATTTACAGTTAAACACGAAAAACTCAAGTTCTATATAAAATCCTTGAAATTGAATCCTGGCAAAATCAACCGATTTTCTCACATGCTGAACTTGCCGAACGACAAATGTAATAAACCCATAGGTAAATAAAAGACAGTTACTGATTTACAACTAGTCAAATACGAAAAACTCAGTAACTATCGAATATTTAGCTTTGAACTATTACATATTTTGTTCAGCAAGTCCTAAGTTACAACAATACATGAAAAAAAATCAATTCCACTAAAAGCTAAATCCTATCCCAAGTAACACAGTCTGGCTATATTCGCTGCAACAGCAAAAATGTAGCTAGTAAAACGTTCTGCCAGCCTTAATTACATCTATTTGGCTGCAAATGCTATTTTGCTGGATTTTTAACTGTAAAAGCGCTGCGATAGTTAATAAAAGAATCAAAATACAGCCACAGCAATTTTAGCTATATTTATAGCTGTAAAATCATTGTGACAGCGATCTGAAAATCCAAAATGCAGCCACAGCAATTTTAGCTGTATTTATAGCTGTAATCTGGCTATAATTTGTATGTTATAGCAAAGAGTAACATGACTTTCAATTTTATGTTAAATTTAGTATGTATCAGCGATGGTCAGCGGACCCATGCATTCACTTATTGCGAATCTAAACTTATTACTTAAGGATAGTATATAATTCTGTAATCACAGTATTTGTATGAATTTGTGTCCGCATTACTAGTATACTTATATGTAAGTTATAAATTGTAATTATTTGCAATAATTAATTTTTTTAATCTAAGCTTTTGAAGCAAAGGTTTCGGGTTGTCATAAGTTCAATCCCAGTTAAAGCAAAAAAAAATTTTTTAATATTTTTTTAACCTTTTTACGGAATGTTAAAATTAAAATTTAACTTTTATTGAATATTAATTATCCATTATTTGTATTGCTTGAATATTAATTATCCGTTATTTGTATTGCTTACTCCGATTGCTGTAATGTAGCTATGACAACGTCTTTACATTAAAATAGCTGTGCAACCGTATGACTGTGACAATGTCTTTACAGCAAAATAGCTGTGCAACCATATGACTGTGATGACGTCTTTACAGCAAAATAGCTGTACAACCATATAGCTGTGACATCATTTTCAAAGCTTAAAAATGTTGTCCCACTTTTGCTGTTACAACTTTCTCAAAACGTCATAATGATGTTGTCGCAGTAGCTGTGGTAGACAAAAATGCTGCAGTTTAAGCTACGACAACGTTATCGCAGACGTTTTAAAGCTTCATGTGTTACTTGGGATGTATCTAATGTATCATTTTCCTCCTATAAAAATGATTCCTGAAGAAGAAAGACACACCTCGCATTGGCCGCAATAGTGCGAGGCCTCGTTCTTGCCGCGTCCGTGGAAGCGCACCTCCACTCCCTTGCTCTTCACAAACTCTAGTATCAAGCAACACTGTCGCATCGTCCGCAGCAGGCAGTTCTTGATGAGCTCGAAGAGCCGCGGATCCGACACCTTGATGTTGCGCGCCAGGTTCCACGAGAGATGCACCATCGGCACAATCGACTTGAATGCTTGCAACTTGTTCCACTCGTAGCGCTCGATCGCGAGCTGGTACTGCCTAGCCGTGAGTGGCCCGACATTCCACGCGATGTTGTTGCACCAGCCAACCGCCTGAACCCAGTGCACACAACCGGCGTTCACCCACACGAGGTCGCCCGGTCGCTGATGGAACCTGTACACCGGGATGTTCTCCTCATACAGGTCGTCCAGGTTCGGCCACCAGCTGCCGTGCAAGTAACTGATGCCGTTGCGCTCGCAGAGCGAGCATATCATGCCCCAGTAAGCATCCGGCACCGCGAACCACTCGCAATCACCTGGTCCGATATTGATGTTGATCGAGCAGAAATTGTTGTTCTCCTGGTGGCCGGGTGTTCTGCTGCCTGGCACCTGGAAACAATTAATCATTCTTCAAGTCCTACTCAAAACAATGTTATAGCTACATTAATCTATATATAAAAAATTTAATATTTAATATTTAATTTAAATTTAATATTTAAGGGGATCCTAAACGTTCTTGAGTTTCAGTCCTGTTTTATCGACAAAATGTGAGGTTTCAACTATAAATATATTTATTGGCTATACGGATTGTTTTTGAAATTAGAGCACTTCGCAATTTGTTAATATTAATACTTTAATTTGTACAGGAAAAAGATTGATGAATCTGTATAGTCTCATATATCTTGGTTACAGAATTATGAATTCTAAGCCTTCATAATTCTGTAACCAAGATATATGAAATACAGATTGATACATATTTTCCTGTATAAATTAAAGTATTAATATTAACAAAGGGCGAAGCGTTCTAATTTCAGGTAATCTGTATAGCCAATAAATAGATTCATATTTTATTTAATCTCCCATATTGTCGATAAAACAGGACTGAAACTCAAGAACGTTTAGAATCCCCTTAATATATTAAAAATTAATCTATGTATATGAAATTTATATATGTATTAATATATGTATTTACATACGTATTAATATACCCCTATTAATTTTGTTTCTAAATAAATAATTCTACCTTCATGTATAACTGCACAGTGTTCATCCCCAAGATCACGTGACCGACATGACTGAGCATGTTGCCGGCTGAGACCACTCTAGCGAAGGCTGGCAGTTTCATGAGCTCGTGTAGCTGCGGCTTCCATTTCCTCTCATCCGACAGATCCACGTTGGTACCAAAGCGCAGCATCTTGGTTCCTGGTCGACCGGTCAGACCGAAGGTGTTCTTCTTCCGTCTGACAGTCTGACCAGTACTGTCCTTCGAGTCCGAGTCCGACAGATTAGACGCGTGTATGCCACCGCCCTGAACCTTCTCCTCCCTCAGGCTCTCCTGGAAACTCGAGGCCTGGTACTGCGCGTACTTGGCGATCGTCGTGTGGCTCCGATGGCTGATACAATTCCAGACCTTCTTGTTGAGCGTGTGGTCCCAATTCTCCTCGCTGGTCTGCTGCATTTGGGTGCGCACCTCGATACCGTGATCCGGGTTCGCCTCGACCAGGGTTTTGGTCGAGAACAGACCCAGGTCTAGCTTGAGCGCGGCCGCGAGGCCGCGTATCACCGCGATCGGGTGCTTCAGACAGAACTCTTGCAGCTGCGGACTGAACGCGTCCTTCTTGTTCTCCAGATAGACGCTGGGTGTCGGTGGCAGCAATTGTTCCTTCGTCAGTCGCTGACTGGGCGGATCCGGAGGCGCCGGCGGCGGCGAACGGTCGCTCAGTATCGAGCAATTCGGCACGCCGTTCAACCCCTGACCCTTGCACGCCTCTATCAGCGTTCTAGCGTCCATCTCAATGCTCAGCTCCTGCTCCGGCTGCGACTCGCATAAGGATTCGAGCTTCAGATTCATCATCGTCGGTTCTGCAGCCTTAGAAATGTTGATATTCGCAGCCTCACTGCTCCTGCTCGTCATCGGCGTCGTCGTCGTCGTCGTCGCGCTGGAGGACAATGACGACGAGGAGGAAGACGTCGTCGTCTCGCTCTTCACCGTCGTCGCCGCCGTCGACTCGCACTTCACCGCCGCTATCGTCGTCGTAGTCGTCGCCGTCGTCGCTGGTGTCGTCGACGCAGCCTCCGATTTCAAGTGGCAAGAAGCCTCCTCCGGCTTCTCCAGCTTGATCACCTCCTTCAGCTTTTCCACGGCGTTCTCCTCGAGATTCGACGGCGAGAACGGACCGGAGCTCAACGTGCCGCTGTCGTTGACGGCGCCACTCGACGGTTCCTCCTTCACGACGGTGTCTAAACCATCAGAGCCGAAGTGCTTGAGAAGATCCTCCGCTAGTGACGTCGCAATGTCTTTCTGCGACAGCAGCGCCTGCAACTCCTGATCCGTCATGTCCAGATTGTCCTTGTTCGCTGCAGCCGCCGTGGAATTCTCCGGGTAACCGCTGCCGGCCGACGAGACCTGCGTGTAACCCTGAGCAGCGTACTGATTCGGCTGCTGCGGATACTGGCCGCCGTACTGGGCGCCGCCAGCCGCGATCTGCTGCTTCTGAGGCGGGTAAGCGGGATCGGAGGCGGATTTGTAAGGCATGCCTGGTGACTGCGTGGTGTTCCCGGTCGCCGCCGTGTTGTAACCGACGTTACTGTCGGAGAAGCCTGTCTGCAGCGCCACCGTACCTCCTTGCTGCAGCTGAAAATGCCGAGCAAAATTAAGAAATGAGCTGACTTCAACGTGCATTTACATCAAAATTGGAAACAAAAATTATTTTCGACAAAAGCTTCTTCTAGAAGTCTAAAAAAAATGACGTCAATTTAATGCTGCAGCTGAAAATGCCGATCAAAATAAGGAGTAACCTGACTTCAACGTGCATTTACATCAAAATTGAGAACAAAAATTATTCTCAACAAAAACTTTGAGTCTAAGAAAATGATGTCATTTTGACGTTTAATGCTGCAACTGAAAATGCCGATTAAAATTCAGGAATAAACAGACTTCAACGTGCATTTACAAAATTGAAAACAAAAATTATTCTTGACAAAAAGCTTTTTCTAGAAGTTTAAGAAAATGACTTCAATTTAATGCTACAGCTAAAAATGCCGATCAAAATTAAGAAATAAGCTGACATCAACATGCATTTACAAAATTGAGAACAAAAATTATTCTCGACGAAAGCTTCTAGGAGTCTAAGAAAATGACGTTATTTTCTTAGACGTTTAATGACGTCAGTTTGCTACCTGGGCGGATTAGCGGCTCGACTAAATGGGATATCCGATATTTACCGGTTGTTGGGGTATCCCGTAGTTCTTGATAACACCCGACGACTGTCCGAGGTTCTGAGGATGACCGCCGTAGGCCGTGGGATGACCGGGCTGCCCTGGCCTTAGGCCCCGCTGCGCCGCCGCTTGCTGCAGCCTTATGTGCTGCTGATGTTGCTGCATCGCGCGATACTGCTGCTGCAGCTGGACGAATAGGGCCTGCTGCTGCGGCGTCAGACTGCCGTGATTTTGCTGCAGAAAGTGCAACATTTGGAGCTGCTGCGACGACATGTAATACGGCGGCGGTCGCTGCTGCGGAGCGGCTGATATCGCCTCGTCCGTCTGTTGAAGAGAGAAGAAAGATTAGACTTTATCTTTTGATACCTGATACATTACCATTTAGCCGTTTATCTTCTGTTTAATATTTATATTATATTTTTATCTTCTTTATATAGGTTTATTCTTCTCTCTTTATATACCTTCATTCTTCATAATTCATACTTAAACTCCTCTTATAAATAATTTTGAGATTTTCTGCACTAAGTTAAAAATTTAGCAATTCAAAAGTTTTATTAATTATGTGTTAATAAGTTTAAAAATTAAAATATAAATTAATAAATTTATTATCGCTGAAGCAAGTAAAGACATCTCGCAGGGAATATTTATCTTCTGTTTTAGCTTCTTCGTTCCTCTCTAACCTTAAATATAAATTAATAAATTTATTAACGCTGAAGCAAGTAAAGACATCTCGCAGGGAATATTTATCTTCTGTTTTAGCTTCTTCGTTCCTCTCTAACCTTAAATCGCTTGGTGTTCTGTACTTGAGCTTGAGGATAAGGAGGCGGAGGACCGGTAGGTGTTGCGCCATATTTATATGAGGGTCCGCCGGGTTGTTGCTGTTGCTGTTGCTGCTGCTGCCGGCTGGTAATTTCTGCACTGATCGGCAGATTCCAAGCATCTTCGATCGACGGCAAATGCCGCTTTCTACAAATAAAGATAACATGATATTATACGATATTTAAAATGTTATTTTTATATTTTAATTATATTTACATTTTACTATAATATTTAACATAATTGGAGATATAAAATATATAGATATATAAATACACAATGTAATATAATATAATATAAAAATAATATAAATACAATATAATATAATGTAAATATATATTAAAATAAATATATAAATATAATTAAATGTAAAATATATAAATATTTTTTTTCGCGCAAAGATAAATTTTTGGAGAATTTCCCTGGTTTTTTCGACTCACTTGGCAGCGACAGAAGGCATTGGTGCTTGACTTAGGTGACTCTGCAGAAAGTTGATGCGCTGTTGGAGGGACGGGTTCATCGGGTTGTTGCCACCGGACTTGACGCCACCCAGGCCCAGAAATGGGCCCGTGCAATTCGCTGCGCTGCTGTTTCCCCTGTAAAACCAGAAGGACAGGTCTTATCTCTGAAGTGACCTAATAACCCAATGCGAATTTTTCGCAATTCGAGGGCGCAAAACGTAAACCTGGCCTTCAACTTGCGCCACGTGCCGTCCTCGATTCTCCAAAAAATGTACGATTATGAGCCATCTAAAAATGCACACATGGTAAAGTGATGCGACGAGTAAATAACGCGATTGAGACGCGATAAGTTTGCCTGAAGAGATAGTGCGTGGAAGAAGAAATAACAATTTGAGGCCACGGCGAAAAACATCCAACGCTTGCATAATTGCTTCAAGTTCTCGATTTTACTTCTATTTAATTTAATTTTTTTTTTTTATTAAAATTATATTTTTGAATTTTATTTTGATATCAATAATTTAAATAAACTGTATTTTTAAATATATTAAATTTTAATTGCATTATTAAATATATATAATACATATAATTAATTTATGATATAATATATTAGACATTTAATAACACAATTTATTTAAATACAATCCAACAATATAATTTCAATGAAGAATACAAAAGACTAAAATTTAAATTTAAAAGTGAAATTTCACATAAAATTAATTTGACTATTATATCTTGTTCTTCGAATTACTTAGTCACTTCTTATTGATTTTTATGAACACTTTATGAATAATCTAAGCAACTTCTCAGCGATGTTTCAACATCCAAAATAAAAATGGCATTAATAATTAAAGCCTTAATAAATGTGCCCTTATTAATTTTGCATCGATTAGCTCCCACACATGTTCATTTGCTGCAATAATGACGTGACTGAAACATTTTGATTTTTCAGGAAAAAAAATGCCCCGCACTAATAACTCAAAAAGAGCTGAATTTTTGAGTTATGCGTATAATCGTTGCAGCAAACGAGCAATATGAAGTACGAGTTTTACCTAGATGCGTTGACGTAACAGGCCAGAGCGTCTTTCGGTTGACTGACACTTTCGTACAATATTCCCAGATTAGTCCAAGCAGCCGAGTGCGTTTTGTCTAATTGCACGGCACATATGTAGGCTTGCAGCGCATCCATAGGCTGATTCTGCTGCTGATACAGAACGCCTATGCTGCACCATGTGTCCGCGTTACCTTCCGATTTTTCGACTGAATTTCTGCCAAAATAATTAATCGCTTTCATACTGCATAAAAGGATAAAATATTAAATTTTTAATATAAATCACAGATAATAAAGGCCTAAAGAGCCATACGCGGATGTTGCTCTATACGTTTCCAAATAAAATCTAAATTCTTAAATTTATGTCAAAGAAATCCTATAAGCAATTAAAAAAAAAATAATAAAAAAATACAATCATATTTAAATTATTTCTACCACAGTATAAAAATTATTATATAATAATAATTATAAATAATAAAATAATTATTATTAAATAAATAATAATTTATTATTTCTTTTCGAATTATTTGACAAAATACCAAATTCTAAAAATCTATCTAGAAAAATGCGGGGAAAATTTTTTGAAACAAATATAATAATAATTTAATAATTTGATAATAAATGTAATAATAGTAATTTATAATAACTTAATAATTATTTAATTTATTAAAATTCAAAAAATGCAATTTTTTATACCTCCGAATTTTTTCCGAATAATTCATCGACGTTTCTAATTTATCACAATTGTGTCACCTCACCTGTACGCGATAAACGCATCGTGGACCTTTCCGGAAGCGGCTAGACAGCGACCCAGGAGATAGAGGCTCTGACCACTCTTAGGTTCGGCCTCGATGGACTTTTGAAGACAGTGAATAGCTGCAGTCTGCTTCTGCTGCCTTGTTATGCCCAGCACAGAGCAATCAACCACGTGGTACATCCATCCTGCAAAGGAGACAAGAGTTTCATCGTAAACACGCGCGATTTCGCTCGCCTCCTGACACCGCAACGGAGATGTTGCCTCGACGCTGGCCAACGAGCCAATGAGTCTAAACCGAATAGATTTTCACAGGTATAGTCTAGGGACAGCAATCTGTCCCTTTCTAGGGAGTCGTCTCGCATTACCCGTCTATAAACATAGGCGTAGAAAATATCGTAATTTTCTTCACTTCTTCTCAGTTGCATTATGTTTTGTTTTTTTCTTTTAAGTATCTTCACGTAGCGATATTTAATTATTTACAGACTACATTTGACACACGAGCTATAAATTAAAGTATCTTAGTTCATTTTATTAATTTTTAATTTAAGTGATTTCTTTAAAGAATACGAAGAAGTTTTTTTCACATTTTATTTTACACAAATAATTCATCTTCTATACTGAAAAAAATTTATTGAATTCGAATAAATATTTATTTCAGTACTGTCTTATAAATTATTTATTTAAAAGTAACATTGATTTAATGTGAAAAAATATTTATTAAATATTTATTTGTTCCGAATAAATAATTTATAAGGCAGTATTGAAATAAATATTTATTAATTTAATAATTTTTTTCAGTATAGTATGCCAATTATATGCAGGAAAGTCTCATATATAATATAAAAATATAGTTGTAAAAAAAATAAAATGTTCCTTTAAAGAAGATATTTGAAAATAATCAAAGAAATAAAAATTTCATAAATATAGAATTCAAAAAATTTCCTTATAATTTTTAATACTTTATAATAATTATATTGATATCACATGCATTGTAATATAATATTACAATATTATAACACATTGTGCTATTGTAGTCTTATATATAATTTATATTGTCATTTTTATTATATATATTATGTTATAATAAAGAATAATATTTTATCTTTATATTGCGCACGATATAATGACGTCGATTTATATAGTCATTTCTTTCGCAATGCATTTACTCCAAGGATTAATCGTCGTGGGAAACCGATGCATAGCGGAAAGTTGTTTTTCGCGGCAAATACATAAATATGCGAACACGTGGCGAAACATCACATGGTTAATTAATTCCCTCGATAAGCCAGTGTTAACTGTTGTGCTCCCATTCATTTATTTCATGATTTTTAAATTTATATATTTTATTAATTAAGAAAAGCGTGTTTCTTTCTTCATATCGATTCGATAACAATCATTATAGATTGTTATTCCTCTCTATCAAATTATATTTTAATTTAAATTTCTTTAAACTATTATTATTTATTTCTAAACTTTTTTTACATAATCAATTTTCCTTTTTTTAATGCGCTTGCATTTCAAGCTAGACGGATATTATTTCAGAAATTGTCTCTCGAAATTGTTTTCCGTTTTCCCCTTATTCGCGAAACTAATAATTGTCGATCGCTACTTCGCTCGTTCGTCCACCTTTTAATGTTATTTATTCACCTGGCCTATACCTGTCCCATTCGGGATAAATGCGGTCTTCTATATATGTACATACTCAATTCGCAAATCTATAATACCGGACCTGCTTTCGCATCAGGCTCACCTGGCCCCGAACCTGGACCCATCTCGGGATCTTTTGGATCCCTCTCGTTCGATTTAAAACCCATCTTTTCCGAGAAATTCACTACCAATTCTTCGAATTTCCGAAAATATTGTAATTCCTTTTATCTAAAAAAATTACACCCCGTCTGAATTTTAATCTCCCGCTTTTATAATCCCATATGTAACTCTAGAATGGTAGAAACACCATATATGAAAGTCCACATCAATCGCGATTAAAATTAATCGCGAAATTTATTATTCAACTAAGCTGAAACGCTTCTTCTCCTTCGTCGAAAGTTTCGGGAAAAAAGAGAAGAAAGAGCCATAAACAGATCGTAAAGTAGAAGTCCCAATAGTGTCCAAGAGACAAACATAGTCTCCTAAAAACACAACCCCAAGAAAGTATCGAGACGTGCAACTTTCGTCGAGAAGCAATCTGTTCCAGGGGAACAAAAAGGACGAAAAAAATGTCCAAGAGAGTCGTTATTGTTTGAAAAGGACACGTCAGGACAATTCGAAGAAAGTCCAGGACGCCCAAAGACATAAAAGACTCTCATTAGACTAAAGGATTTCACTTTTTCTTTGCAGGAGTGTGAAGAGGACATTTATTTTAGACGAATACAGGCAAAGGGTTTTTCCAGGTTTCCTGAAGATGGAATATCATCCCCGCGAGCAAAACGGAAGTTCCGAGAAGAAGGAACGACGATTTTCCCTATATCAGCCTCACTCGAATGCGGTCGGTTTAAGGTTCTGCCGGCTGCACTCTGCCAAGTAGTCTGCAGACATGTGTATTGATTTATTCCGGGTTAGGGTGGGCCGGGGATGAGACGGAGAGGCCGATCCAAGAGAAGGGAGGGTGAGTGAATGAACGAGGGACAGAGAGGGAGCGCCGTGAATGGGACGAAGCGAGAGGGAGCGAACTTCGGGGTTGTGGGAAAACTATCCTCGGTCTCCGTTTCTCTCGCACACCTGCCCTATGTCCCTCTGCTTCCCGTTTCTGTTTCAGACTCTGCGTAGACTAGAATCGGCGATCGAGTACGCCGAAGTGTCCCCCTAGAGCTAGTAAGTCGGAACCTTCCGGAGTAATACAAAGTTGCTTTACAGTGACGTCGACGTTCAATTCTATAATAACGCACGCTTTCACTTTTTTAAAAAATGATATTTAATATACAAATATATATATATATATATATATAGGTACATAACATTTTTTAAATATTATATCTGTCATTTATTATACAGGGTGTCCCAAAATTACTGAACACCCTGTACCACGATTTTTCCTCAGTAAAAATGTCGAGGCAGGTTATCAACTTTTTGCATGTTTCCAATTTTTGCCATCATGTATGCAAAATAAACAATAAAATTTTAAAAAATTTTTTAATTAAAATTAACTGAAAAATATGATTTTGTTAATATTTTATTTCCACGAAACATAATTTACAAAAAAAACCTTTTATTTTCGCTTATAACTTGTTATAAATTATTATTAATGCCTCGATATTTTTATTGAAGAAAAATCGTCTCCAAATAACCTTAAAATCTCCCCATTAACAGGGAATTTTGGGACACCCTATAATAATATATTATATATATATATTCATTTATATTATATTATAATTAATTTAAAATAAAATGTCAAAGTTGTGAAATTTATTTTTATTAATCCCATTTTCATTTATCTAATATCCTAAATTATTTTATAAAAAAATTACAATAAATTCAATTATGCATAAAATAATTTTCAACGCGTATGGAAAATTTTAAAATATTTTGCCGAATTTACATTCATTTTTAAATAAAATTTACTTGTCGCATCTTAAATATTTAATACACCCTCTTCTCTACCCTCTCTCCTAGCTGAAATACGTCAAATAGACTTTCATATAGAATTTTCCGAAAGTATAATATTCTTGTTTCACATTCCTCTTTCTTTCCATGAGACGTCTTAAATATTTATATATGAAATATTTGCACAATACCCTAGAGTTAGAATGTGTCGGAGCCTTTAAGTATTTCCGAACGCGATAACTCTCGTCTCTCCTTCCGAACACAATATTTCTCTCTCGTCTTTCCTTTTTCCAGCATCTTTTGAATATTTATATAGGGCTCCAACAATATTTCTTAGCGCGAATCAATCTTTTCTTTTCTTTTTGTTTAACAAAGATACCGATTAACCGATAATTTTGAAATTTTATGCAAATATAAAGAGATAAAATTTGAATGTCTTAACAAATGGAATCTCTTCTCGCTTTTTTTTGTGTAAACACTTTGCTTCCGCAAATTGATCGTTTATATCGTGTATCGCAAATTAAACCGAAGAGTTTATCTCCGAGTCATATCTTAAATACATATTTTTAAAAAAAGTCAAGTGATTTATAACAAAGTTAGCTTCATAACACCTGCTCCCTATTCTTCTACAAAAAAATGTATTTAAGATGCAAAAATAAAAGTCTTAATTTAATTTCCTATTTTTGTCAATTAGAATGCTTTTAATTAAAAATTTTATTTTATTAACAATTTTATTTTATTATTATTTTATTATTTATCTCCCTGTCTATCATGTGCATAGATAGAGCAGATTAAAACCAGAAGGAAAGTCCTCTACCGCTTTGCGATCTTTGCAATAATTAATAAGAAATTAATTTTAAAAAATCAACCAATCGCGCGAGTCGACGGTTGCTAGGCGCGCGAAGTTCCAGCATTGCCATTTGCTATTTGTAGAACGCTCCGCCCATCGCTGGCGCGCCTAGCAACTGCACGGAGATTGGCTAATCTATTTTAATTAATTTCTCATTAATTATTCCAAAGATCGCAAAATAGTAAAGGACTTTCCTGCTCGGTTTAACCCGCTCTACACCTGCATACGAGAGATGGACCGATTATTATTATTATAGAATCTAACCTAACCTGTACGTTTGGGGAATTTATATCTTAGAATAAATTCATTTTATATACCTCGTTATTTCTCTATTTGCGTAATAAAATAATCGTTCGGAATGATTAATTAATTAGATGACAGATGCAAACTTACCCAGCTGACGGCAGATGTCGGCCTTGAGATGCAACGGCAGTACTTTTTCCTTCAGCAGAGCCTCGTAGTGCTCCTTGGCCAGCCGGTACTTGCCTTGAACTTCGTACAAGTGAGCAATGTGGAATTTTACTGCAACACAAAGTTCCTCGATCAATTTCCTTCTAGCAATCGAGAAGATAATTTTTATTCGTCGAAAATGACTTTTGTCAGATTTAAGGGGGAAAAAAAAAAAGAGATCGAAAAAGAACAATTAGGATTGATTCCAATTAATTTGCTTGATAAGCGTCCAAACCCGATAAGCAAATTCGAAAGACTGGCACACAAACGAAGCGCGACTAGCTATTTAAAAAAGCGCGGCTTCCGGTGGGAATTTATAAATTCCCAGTATTCGAGAAGAGAGAGAGAGAGAAGAATGACTCCTAGGCCTAGGAATCATCAAATCATTACGCGGAGAGAACCTACAATTCGACGTCATGAATCAGCAGCAGTCATTCTGATTCATCTTCGCGAAAAACTTCCGTATGTTCAGGTTCTACATATGAATATGTGACGTATATACGAGAAAGAGAGGGGAAATCCTGACTTCGACTTCAATGATGACGTTCCAGAGTCAATTTTTCTCGGAACAAAGAAATCGTCATCTATGGCGAATTTTGCCAATCTTGAATTAATATTCGAGACTTGCTAATTATTAATATTCTTTTATTATAATTTATTAAAAGAAAGTTTACATCGCGCATTTAATACCTATTAATTAAACATATCACTCTACAAAATATAAAATTCATTAATTGCTCGTTATATCGCCATTAAAAAATAATCATATAATAACATTTTGATTAATTAACATTGCTTAATTCTTGATGATATTTGAAAGTTATTTTTAATTGAAGAAATAAAAAAATTATCGTATACTTTTACGCCTAAATTAGGCATCCTGTTATAGAAAAAAATCTATTATCAATTAAAATCTTTCTATATCAAAAATTTCATAAAATAATATATTTTTATAATAAATTTCTTCTATTGAACATTTTTTTCCATATATATTCAAGGCAAAAAAAATTTTATTTAAAGATGACTGACAATCTGATGCGATAAAAAACCAGAATAAAATTAAAAAACAAAAAATGATACGAAATTGTTATAGAAAAAAAATCTATTATCAACTAAAAAATAATTTATAAACTAAAATGTTTCTACATCAAAAATCTCATAAAATAATACAATATTTTTATAATAAATTTCTTTATATCAAAAATCTCATAAAATAATATATTTTTATAATAAATTTCTTCATATATAATAAATTTCTTCTATCGAACATTTTTTTCCACGTATATTAAAGCCAAAAAAGAATCTTATTTAAAGATAGCTGACAATCTGATGCGATAAAAAGCCAGATTAAAATGATAAAATTAAAAGACAAAAAGATGATACAAAATTGTCGAATAACTCTGCAATCCGGCTTCAACTATAGTTCGCGATTACGCGAGATCGAGTCATCTCGCTATTGGGAAAAGGCGGTCAAGTTCGCGGAGGAAGGAAAGTGAACGAGCGGTCGTGCGATCGTCGACGGATGTAAATGGAGACCGCGTTTTCCCGGGTGCGCGAGGAAAAGGAGGCCTTATATATACACTTACTCTCGAGCTTGGAGAAGGAGGCAGGTGTGGTGGCGTCGATCAGGGCGAGGGTCAGGTGCTTCAAGGCGGCGTCGAACTCAGCGTGGACCTTCAGCATCAAGCCGAGCCGTAGGTGAACCTCGCAGGCCCGCGGAAATCCCGGTTCCACCCATAGCACCTGCTGGAACGCTTTCACGGCCCTGGAACACGCAACGAAACGAAAGAGTTATTTTCGAGAAAAATATCAGCAAATTTAATTACGGGATATACGAGTGCGCACGTGTATCTCGATAAGCTTTCATTTAATTGCCACGCAGTCGCCTTCAATTAATGTCAGATGGACTGTGTGCACAGTCATTTTATATAAATAAAATTATCTAATACAATTTCTAAATAAAATTATATAATCATCTAAAAGATAAAATTATCTAGATAATTATCTAGATAATTTTATCTAGATAATTATCTAGATAATTTTATCTAGATAATTGTATCTATATAATTTTATCTCTTAGATAATTATATAATTTTATTTAGAAATTGTATTAGGTAACTTTATTTAAGATTTAAATAATTATCTAGATAATTATCTAGATAAAATTTTATATATAGATAATCATCTAAATAAAATTATATAAATCATCTAGATAAAATTTCAATAATAAAAATTTAAAAAATGAAATTAATAAAATTAAAAACAATATAATTTTAAAATAACTTAAAGAATATGATAAAATATATTTAATTATTTTCTGCAATGCGGATAATTGAATAATTTGTTTTCCTAGACAGGATACATTATATATTTATTTCCGGCGTTGTTTTGTCGCGATCATCGAGGCAAGATTGCTTCGCGTTAATCCTTGCCATTTCTTGTTTCTCGAAACCTTCCTGGCCGGTGCCGTAACGCACGCAATGTGGCAAAGGTGAACCTGCAGGAAGTGGTTGGTACATAACGTCTGTCACGCGACCACGGGGGCCCCGCGAGCGAAATAAAGAAAAGAGGGAGCCGAGCGATGCGCGCGCGCGCGCTTTGTAACAATTGTTACAAAGCAGTATCGCAAACCGTGCGATCGATACTCGCCGATCGATCGCGCGGATGCACACGGAAAGCCGGAAACGAATAATAACGCGTGCAAGCGAAACTGCGTATATTCCGCAAGCGGACAATGACCATAATAACTCGAAGCCCCTTCTTTGAAAAATCGCATACGATCTATCATTTGAGACTTTTTTTTTTAATTCTAAAGGGATGCTCTCTCTTCTCAAAAAGACAATTATTAGAGTGCGTTCTGCAATTTTCGAAAGTATATGCTACGGGCTCTTTCTCCGAAAAACTCCCTATATAATATTTCAAACGTAGAAATTTAGAAAAATTCGTAGCTTCAAGCCTAATATGATGTAGAATATAATTTGCGGAATAAATCTAAAAAAATATCTAAACCTAATATCTGAAAATATATATATATATATATATATATATATATATATATATCAAAAAATACATGTTCTTGATATCCATATAATTTCTATTAAAAAAAGCAGATTTTTATTCTTATTTATTTTTCAAATTTTAATCCTCATATTTTTATTATTTTTAACATTTAATGAAAACAGATTTATGAGGAACTGAGGAATTTTTTTTCAATTGTATGCTTCATTCTTTTCTCAAAAATCACATGTGAAAATCATTGATTCAACATCGTAAAAATATTCCAAAAATTAAGATCATAATTTTTCTCATAGGGGTTCTTCACGTTCGCCAGTTTATTCAAATGTATTCCTCGTATTTATTTTTACAATTTTTATCACATTTAATAAAAACCAAAAATTATGAGAAATTTTTTTTAATTACATGTATTTTTTTCTCAAAAATTATTGACTCAACATCGTAAAAATATTCCGAAAATCAGATCCAAAATCTTTCTCAAAGGGGTTGCTCTCGTTCGCCAGTTTATTCGGAGCAACGGGAGATGCTGGACGAGAGCCAATGTCAGTTCGCAGCCTGGCCGAAGGCGAGAGCGCGCAGAGTCGTCGAAGACGTCACTTTCGTTCCCGTTAAACGACGGCCGTGTGACGGTTACATATAGGTCACAGGTTATTACCGGATTTCTCTCCATCCCTTCCGGACACAGATTTCTCATCGCGTACTCTCCCTCCTGCCCCATCCCTTTCTCAAATCTTCGAGTTGCATCTCATTAAGATACTTTGTTCTTGTATCTCACGTCTTTTTATAATTTTATATAATCTTTACGATTTTATTTTTTTATAATTTCATACAATTTTATTTTTCTACAATTTTATACGATTTTATTTTTATAATTTTATACAATTTTATTTTTTTATAATTTTATACAATTTTATTTTTTTATAATTTTATACGCGCGATTTTATACGATATTTATCTTACATAATTTTAGGGAAGAAATCATTATTGTTTAGAAAAAAAATAAATATATTTATATAGTATTATATAAGAATTGAACTATTATTTAATAATATAATAAATTAAAAAATATAATACAATAACTATTTATTATATTTATATGTGTAACATAATATGATGAATAATAAATAATATATTATATACATCAATAAAAAAAAACTATATATTATTTATTATATTTTAAATAAACAATTTAATTTTCTATATTATCAAAGGAAATTAAAATTCTCTAGTTCGCATAAAAACACCGGGCAAGTTTTCGTGTGTCGGCGCAAGGAGGAGGGGCGCTGCTAATCTTTTCCATATCGTTCCAATTTTAGTGTATGCGCTCTGTCGCGGCGCGAGTGTGTCGTTCCATATACGTGTGCACACGTATAAACAGCGATCCGCGTGTAAGCGACACACTTTTCGCGGCGCGGGGTTACGGCACACTTTTCCTATCCTAAGCGTGCGGTTATGAAACACGAGCGACGTAACCAGGCAGGCCGCTGCTTACGATTATCTCCGCGGCTCTCTAAGTAAACGCGCGCTTGATAAATGCCGGGAACAGCTGAGAGCCGCCGCCTTTCACCGAATGCAATTCCCTTCGCGTCGATTCCGCGAGAAGCGTAATTTATCCCGGGAACAAAAGAGTATAAACTGGAGAGAGAGAAATTGCTTCTTAAGCCGAAAAATATATCACGCTTGTAATTTATGTACGGATAGGTGATCAATTTCATGTGCATTTTCTTCAATAAAATTATAGAGTCAAAAAAGCCAATGATATTTTTAATATTTCATATAATTATTTTGTTATACATTCATTATTAAATTATAAATATAATTATAATTAAATATAATTGTTTTATTATATATTAATATATTAAATATAATTTTCTTAAATGTTTTATTAAAAATAAAATTAAAAAGGGTATCTTATTTTATAAAAATATAATAAATATATATAATAAAACTAAAAAAATATATAAAAAATAATAAAATTCTACTTTAGAAAATAATGCGTCTTTAAAAATTTTGCCCAAGAAAAGACCGGTCAAGTCGATTTTCCTTCCCAATGACGTTATTTCTCTCGATCAACATGAAACAAAATGACTGACTTCGTGGAAGATAAATGCACGAGGAAAGGATCGACTTGTTTTTACCGCGAAACTCGTGACGTGTTCGAAGATAAGCGGCGATTTAATGAGAAGAAGTAGTAAAAACAGAGGTAAAAAAAAACGATCATGTTGTCGTCATCAAGAGAGAGAGAGAGAAGAGCGGTAGTAAATTCATTCATAAGAAGGTCCATTCATCGCTTCATTCACTCACTTCGTTTCCTTTCGGGGTTCGTTGTCTTCAACAATGAGTCACTCCCGACGCGTCGAGCAGAAAGAGAAATGTCAGTGACTCGCCCATTTCGCAAGAAACGATGCTATAATCGACTATGTTGTGAAGCATCGAAAGAGAGAATAATACAGTGCGACAAAAATCGCTATCGAATCGTTCACAAGATGATAGAATTTGTCTGACGCTCAAAATAATTGTATTCTCGAATTATTTATTAAATTTTACATAAATAATAATAATTATTATTATTATATAATATTATAGTAATAATATAATTATATATTATAATAATATATTGTATTATTATATATTATTACTGTTATATACAATATTATTATATCATTATTATAGTATATACTATGATATATATATATATATATATTTATTATATACTATAATTATATGGATTATATATTATAAATTCTTCACGAATATTCTTAAATTTTTAAAATAATTAATTATTAATTTCTGGAGCATCTTCTAAAATTAAAAATATATTCCCTATTAAAAATGATTATAAAAATAAATTCCAGTTTATTCACGTTTCTATAAATTAAAAATATCTCATATTAGAGAATCCTCTTCTTAAAATAAAAGTAACTTTTTGGTGCCTGTTTTATAGAACAGAATAAAAATAAGCAAGAAATGTTTAAAATAAAAATATAATTCAATAACTTTTTTCACTCAACAAAAAAAGTGACCGTCTTTTTGATAATTTTTTTTAACATTAAATGCAATTCCGACTTTCAAAATTCTCCATCACTTGCAAATAAAATTATTTAAATAGATTTTATCACACTACAATTTTGCAATTAGAGTTAAATTTGTTAAGATTTTTCTATAATCTTCTCAAAAAAGAATTTGTTGTATGGATTATAATTAATAAAATCAATTTAGGATTTTAAATATAAGGTTTTTATTAGCAAATTAAATCACTAAGGATTCAGCAGATACTTATTCAAGCATACAGATTTTTCAGGTCACTGAATATCAATACGATGTTAAAATTAATAAATTCAAAATGGCCGCATTAATACGGCAGATATAAAAATTTAAAAATGGATTCTAATATGCTTGCAAACGTTTGTTTTATGAATACACTTTAAATTTGTTATTTTTTACAAATTCGTATTTAATAATTCAAAAAAATTTTTTTTAATTTTAATAAACACGAAATTAAAAGCTATATAATAATTAACATAGCTTAATTAAAATATTATTACGATCAATATTTCAATAATAAAAATAAAATTAAAATAAAAATAAGTTAAAATACAATAAAATTTAATAATAATAAAAATAATAAAAATAAATAAAATAAAATAAAATAATAAATAAAATAAAATGAAATAATAATAAATAAAATTAAATTAAAATTAAATAAAAAATAATAAATACCTACATATATATATTTCAATAAATTAGCCC